GGTTTCCAGCTTTCCAGCACATGTCCTACTGACTAAAACATCCAGGAATGGTAGTTGGTTGTTTCGACTCCTTCTCCATTGTGAATTTGAAGTCATTGAAAACGTTGTTGATCAAACTGTGGGTGTTTTTTGCATCATCTTTTTTAATGATGACAAAAGTGTCATCCACACAGCAAATCCAAATTTTTGGTTTGATCACAAGTAGACTCACGATCAAACAACTTAGCTCAAAGAACACAATACAACCAAGACTATCTAGCTGAGCTGCAAATATTCTCCATTATTTCAAATTCAAGGAGGCTTTATATACGATAACAAGTTGTCACACAATCCAATCTGGAGGGTTGATCTCGTTTGTTTTTCAAAGAATTGTAGACGTCTGCTTGATATTGGGTGTCAATGAGATGCCGAATTATTGTGTATCGAATATTACGTAATCTGATAGTGTTAAGTATCTCAATATTTTAACTCCTACTCTTGTTGTCATCTTTGTTCAAGAATCTTCCATTAGAATGTATACATACTTGTGAAAATTTGTTAACGTTTATCAGGTTTTCTTGAATGCAATTTAAATATTCTCATTGTGATAATTAGAAGACAGAGTTTGAAGGGAATACGTATTTTCGGTAAATTCTCATCAGGCGTTTTACAGTTTACATTTACAAATTATTCACTTCATATCAACATGATTAAATTAATTCGGGTATATGAATTAGAAGATAACAGTACAGGCGACGACAACAAAACGAAATCTGGGAAATTTAGTAAAAATGCTTGTATTATACCGTCGGTGATTGGACCAAATTGTTCCGTCTCTATTGGCATATTGCCTCCTGTGCGGGTGCCTCGACATATTGCCTGTGTTTTAATTCTAGTAATGATGGATAGTGGCTAGCAGTGGAATCCAGGATGGGCATTTCGTCTTATTCAGGACTCGTCAACCGGATTCACCTGCCTCCCAGTGAATGATGTTGTTCCGAATAGGATTCGAACCCGGAACCGATCGCTACATATGCGAGAGCGTTATCCACTAGGCCACCGAGTCACGATAGCCAATTCTTGTGCGATAGGTATAGTTTCAGTATAATTCCCAGCCACTATCCATCATTAGTAGAATTAAAACACAGGCGATATCGAAGTATCCCCACGGGAGCCCATATGTTAATTGAGACGGATCAACTCAGTCCAATCAACGACGGTATAATACAAGCAACATCTCGGAAAGTTTAGATATTCTCAGTAGTCAATCCTTGTAGGTATGTGAGTAGTGAATTGTGTGTGTGTGTGTGTGCGTATGTAGGGATAGAGGGAAATGAAATTATTGTCACATAGCGATTACATAATAAAATGTTAAAATTCTTGATCAATTATGAAACTAAGGCCGAAAAATATAATGATAAGAGTACAAATAGAGATAATATTTGCATTTATCCGAGTGAGCGGGAAGAAATTTATTATAATTGTATCTGAGTTGAAGATGAAGGCCATGAGAGAGATGGTGGGCTTTGCGAGTGGTTCTACTTACGTAATTATCTCTACATGGCCAGTTAAATTTATAAACGCACATAGATTTGTCTAGACTCCGAAGCCTATCCTTCAACTACATTGGCATCCTACACCCGGTAGTAAATTTCAAACATAGTTTGGTGGCAAAGAAGCTTTTTTACATCAGATTTCTAAGTTTCAGTGTTTCCGCAGCTGCATCTCCTCTGAACGCAAAGGGTAGATATAATTGTTTTTTCAGCACCATTTGATAGCTCTTTTCTCCAGCTGTTTTCATTGTTACAGTCTTTATGAACTTTTCGGGATAGCCGTTCTCATATAAGGAGTTCTCTGTTATTCTTAATTCATCGTTCAAAGTATCAGCTGTACAAATCTTACGGATTAAATTCTTTTTGTACGTAAGAGGAATAAATAATCGGTAATGTGTATACTGACTAACCCATGACTTCTTACAAAACATACTGCATCTGACACTGCCATCCTTTCGTCTTGATAACAAAACATCTAGAAGTGGTAAACATCCGTCTTTCTCTGTTTCACAAATGAACTCGATTTCTGGATGAGCACTGTTGAATGTGTCGAGAAGAATGTCAGGATCAGTAGCATTTTTTTACAGAATGAAAGTGTCATCCATGTACCTACAATAGTTTATCTATCGTGCTACACAGCGGTCCACTTTCCAATTTCGCCACAAACATATCGGCTAGAAAAGGACCTAATGGTGAACCTATTGCCACACCTTCCATCTGATGATAGATTTCTTTTTCAAACTGAAATCGTATATTCATTGTCCAATGAAGGAGCAGCACTCATAGGATTGCAAGTAGTATACCTGCATGTATCTTGTTATCTAGCAGTGAACTACAAGTGAAATCAATTGTTTCCAGGAGAGTAACATCGATAAACATGGAAGTAACATCCATAGATATCATCGTTTCTTTACTGATGTTCTTGTCTTCGACTTTTGAAATAAATTCAAAAGTGTACTTGAAGCTATATTTAGCTAGCTTATGTTGTAGCGGTCTCAGTATTACTGCTAGCTGTCTCGTTATTTCATGATACAGTAAATTGAAGATGTCTAAGACACGGCGTATGGGTACGTTAGATTTATGGATTTTAGACAATCGATACATTGTTGGTATGTTAGTACCTACTGGCTTAATTCTTCCGAAAGTGTCTAGTGGGATTAAGTCACTGGTTAATAGCGTCTTAAATGTAAAACCTGACAAGAATTTACCGAAATAGGTATTTATTTCAAACCCTACCTTCCTTGGATGTACCGTCATCATTGACCCCACAGTCTCTGAATGTTTCTATCCGTCTTAACCCTTTATTCTGTTCCTGTGAATGAAAGTATACACTTTTGACGTTAATGAAGATTTTATTTATTTCAAAGTAGTATTCATCAGAAGCTGATATCAGGACGATTTAAAACCTGCGAGCACTAGAGTGGTCTTGGGTCCAGCTTATGTCAGTCCATGATAAATGTCACCTTAAGAATTAAGGTATGCCAAATTATCAATGACGAAACTATATATTTTGATATTATAGGTTGTAAGCAGGTGACAAGAAGCCACCGAAATTAGATGGGTCCATTTTATTCTGCTCCTCTTCAAGTGTAATTTATTTATTGATGGAGAAATAGGTAGTTCATATTGGGGACTACAGTAAGAAAAAATAACCATTGAACCTAGAGGATTGAATGTTTAATTGGATTTTTGATCCTTCCTATAAGATGGCTTTCCTGATCATAATTTATTTCATGAAATAGCAAAGTGGTGTAAACTGAGTAGCTATTGTTCGAGTACACACTAAAAAGTAAGAAGCTATCTACTGTAGAGTAGAAAAAGGCTGTTCAAAGAATTTCATTTATACAGGATATGATTTTAAGCATATTACCGTTTCAGTACTTCTTTGTCCCCTTATAAAGGCACCTAGGTAACGCATATTTCAGTCCCAGACTTCAGATCGCACTCAAAGCGGGTTTCTTAATGAGGCGAAGTCGATGAATTACACTGAAGTCATCTGATTTCTTTTTCTAGAACTCTTTGAACACAGCATATTCTTGACATTTACTAGATTCTTAAAGATATACATCAATTTGGTTTATGGACAGCACAAAATTGATAATCTGACTAGAAATCTACATACCATTGACTTTCATTTTTATCACTGTGCATAACCAACCCATCTATCTTAGCGAATCATTTAGTCACCTTTTGGTATAAATGTTACACTTCTGACAAACGACTGTCAGATTTCTATGTTTTATAAGATACCTATGATGTAATGAGGATGATGATGAAAATACCCAACTAACAACAGCATCAACAACAAGCACTAATCACCATCAACGGATGAAACTTAAAGAAAGTAGTCTCTTCCAAGCACCTAGGCAGCATCGTTTAAACTACAGGCAGCACAGGCACAGATGAAGATGCCAAATCCAAGATTGGAAAAACAGCAAGACAGGCTTTCATTAATCTGAAATGAGTGTGAAGATCTACTGCACTCAGCGTAAAGCGTGAACAACATCCGGATTTTCAACACTAATACAGTCAGGTCAGCGCTTCTATATGGTTCAAAGACTTGGCGCGTGACAAAAAGCATTTCCAACAAACTACAGACACACATCAACAGCTGCCTACGCTCTCTACTGAAGATTAGACGACCAGAAAGAATAAGCAAGGAGGAACTCTAGGAATGAACCAACCAAATGGAAAACAACTAGTTTGGCTTCCCAGCTGAAGGTGACATGGAGGAGATAGTGTGAGGAAGAAATGAAAGCTTGTGGGGAGTCGTGGAGCAAGGTTCGGAAGATTGCGGAGAAGAGAGTGGAATGGAGGCGTGCTACTAAAACCCTATGTTCCACTGGGAACCCAAGGGAAAAATAATAATAATAATATATAATGTAACCTAGTGCTTCATTGTTGAATGATTCAATCAGAAGTATTGTCGAAGAGAGTGACCAGATTGGCTGCACTTCATACAGCTGACTGTGTGAATGATACATAAATTCCACCTAGTGTACAATGGAGCCTTCAGTATGCATAATAACGTTTCCAGCTATTTGCATTACCAAATTTACTCACTTTTTTGTGAATGACCAACTCATGAATTGTGGCAAGTTTTTCCCATATATAATAGTATTATTCTTCTGACTGTTGTCAATAAGTTTTTAGCAAATAGTTGTAGGTTAGTGAGGAATTTTAAGCGCTGAAACATCTGTCTGAAGAAGCGTCGGTTTCAAGAAAAGTCAAAACTGTGCCACTCATTTTCAATATTATCAGCAGTGAGCCATGCTTTCGTACCTGTTAGCACTTGTCAGTTAAGCGCTCCATTAAAGTGTTGAATCCTTTAACTTAATTGATAAAATTCAGTAAGCTCTGGGGACTAGACAACATGAAATCATTTGACCTCTAGTGACTTACCGATGTATCTTCCAGATATTCTAATGACTTCAACTCTTTTCTTATGAATACTATTTTGTTTTTTAGATGAAGATTCAGCTTTACTGGCCATTTTAGAACAAAGATTATCTAGAAGACCAGAAAATAAACGTATATACTCTGATTCTGAAATGGGATTACAAGAAGCAGGTGATATTCCACTACGAATAGTTGGACAGCAACAACGTTCTGGTCATGTGGTCGATGGATCTAGTCAAGCGTTTTCTGGTTCACTGACACCAGGTAAATTGAATAGATGAAATAATAGTCATAATACTGATAAAAAAAACTGTTTAAACTTCATTATTCATAATTACCTACTAAAGAATAAAGATCGTATAATTTTGAGTGCTCAGTTTTCTTGAGTAGTACTCAAACTTTGCAATGGATGATCTTTGTCTAATGATAAGGGAGAAACTCTATGCTAACTGGACTTCGTATCATTTTGGTAGTGATCAAAAGTGATGTCATCTTTTCCGTCATTAGTGAAGATTGGTTTTAAGAAGTGGCCTTCAATTGAGGTGCCGATTTAATTTAAAAATTAGTTTAATCCTTAATTTCTGTACACTATCGCTGAGGACTTCCTAAGACGAAACACTAGATCAGTATTTTTGTTCTGTATCAGACTTATTGCAACTTTTCGCGGTAAGACAAAGCTGGAGGCTGGATGTCTACAGTACACCCATATACATGCAGCTTAGTAGACAAACAAAACACACAAACTTGAAGATCTACGGGCGAAAACTAACAAGTTGATAGAAGAGACGAGGAAGCGAAGACAGGACTTCAAGTGAATGTAGAGAAGACAGAGGTGATAAAGATACTCAACCAACAACAACAAGCTGCAATCAGCATCAACGGGAGAAACTTAAAGGAAGTAGCCTCTTTCAGCTCTCAAGGCAATGCAGCATCGTTTCAACTACAGACGACACAGACGAGGACATTAAAGCCAGGATCGAAAAGACAGCAAGACAGGGGTTCCTTAGCCTGAAACCGGTGTGGAGATCTGCACTCAGCATAAAACCTGAACAACATCCGGATTTTCAACACCAACTCAGTCAAGTCAGTGCTGCTATATGTTTAAGAGACTTGGCGCTTCACGGAAGGCACTTCCAACAAACTACAGACATTCATCAACAACTGCCCCCTACTCTGGCTCTTTACTGAAGATGGCGATCAGATGGCCAGAAAGAATAAGTAACAAGGGAGTCTGGAAACGAACTAAGCAAGAACCTATCACTCAATAAATATGCACTGGAAGGTAGTGGAGATGGATTGGGCATACACTAAGAAGGCCCGAATGGGGACATTACGCGCCAGGCTGGGCATTCGAGTGGAACCCAGATGGGAAGCAACGAGTTAGGCGTCCGAAGCTAGGGTGACATGGAGTAGATCGTGCGACGAAGAAATAAGAGCTTCTGGGCTGTCGTAGAAGCAGGTTCAAGAGTTTGCAGAGAAGAGAGTGGGATGGAGACGTGCTACTGAAGCCCTATTTTCCATTAGGAACCCAAAGGACAAATAATAGTAACATAATAATTATACAAATTAACATTTCTTCACCTTTTGTTAGATCTACCTAATTTGAGAATTTACCAGTTCTTCATTTTCAATGAAGAAGTTTCTAACTACCCCATAGTTCATTACACTGTCCTTCCAACGCCTAAATGGCTGCTAAGCATTACCCAATGTTTCAAGCATCTTCGCTTCTGAAATTTTTGCCCCCTTTTACCTCTACCAATGTTCACCATAAGTGAAAACACCAGGACGTCCGTCATAGCTCAGTTGGTAGAGTATCGGACCGGAAACCCGGTGGTCACTGGTCCGACTCGGGTTGTTGTCCAAATTTTCATTTCACCTTCAATCATCACTAAGTATAAAAACACTAATAGTCAATTTGGAAAACAAATTGTCTGTCGCCTTGTGTACTGGTCAATCAGTTATTACTATTTATTCACATAATTGTTATTCCCCGTTGTTTTGTTGGGTGGAATTGTTCGACCTCTATTTGCATATGGGTTCCTATGCGGATACCTCGATATTGCCTGAATGTTAATTATGATAAATTGGTTAATTGTGGCTAGCAGAAGAGTCCAGGACGTGCGTTTCGTCCTATTTGGGACTCGTCAGCTGGGTGTACCTGCACCCCAGTGGTAACAACATCACTTGGGTGCAGGTACATCCAGCTGGCGAGTCCCAAATAGGAAGAAACGCGCGTCCTGGATTCTTCTGCTAGCTACGACCAACCAATTGGTTAATAAATGCTTAGGAAAACAGTACATAGGTTCACTGGTACATAACAACTGCTAGTTTCAGATCACTTGTTACCTTTCCCACTCTCTTCATGAAATACTAAATTAAGGACTCAATAAGAACGAAATCGCTGACATTTTATCCAAAGCGCTGGACCCGCAGTATGACAAATTCTTAGAATATGCTGTATCAGCAAATGAGGTATTGACTACAACTAGCTACCGAATTATGACGGAGATGAGTGATAGGCTGGAAAAAGGATGTTATCGGAGTCCTTTTTACTTGTGACCACCTTAGGGACCGAATAAAAAACTTCTAAATTGGCATACCAAAGATTTCAGTACGCTTTATCCCAGACAGATCTTCACCATCTAAAGAACGACATTTTGATGACGAACGGGCTCCTGGATGAACATCACAAGCATTTGAAACCTTCATAATTTAACTACACTTTTGCTAGCCAAGTACGAACTATTCATTCAAAACCTTTTCATAAAAAATACTTCAAAATCTTTCCAAGGTCTCGACATATGATTCTCTTTGATGTCAAATGTTTCAAGCAATTACCTCATTTATCAGCCTCAATTGTGACTTGCTACAAGATAGCCAGTATTGCACAGTACTTCTGTGTGATATCACATGCCAGAGTATTTCAATATTCCAGCCATTCAATCTCCAAGACGCAGAACGTATGGAGTTCATCAAGATTCATTGACCATCACATCAGTTATCGTGCATAAAAATATTTTGAAAGTATAAAGATTACGGATATATAAGAACCTTTATTAGTCATTGGTCTCTGACTGTAACACTGAGTAATGCAACTTCGAATCTCTAAGGGGACCGACATCAATTCCCTCAAGGTTTCAATACACTTTATTGATATGTGTTTCCTACCGATTGTCTTCAAATGTCTAGAACCTTGAATCACCCTGTAAACAATGAGTTTAAAAGTTTGCGCAGTGATCTGAGGTCGATCAGAATCTCACTGCTTTTTGGATCCACGTCAGTCATTAAAGAATAAATGACACTAGACTGGTATTTCATTCTCCTCTAGATGTCATTCTATGATAAATACCACCTATAAATAAATAAAATTTGTGTAGTCTTCAAACTGAACTACTGTATAGTAATCATTATTGACATGCTTTGAGTTGGATATTCTGAAGTTTCAATGCGAAGAGGTGACCAGTCGAGACCTCGGGACATAAATATTCTAGGTTCGATAGCTGGTGGAGTCAAGGGTCTGTAATGATGAGAAGTTCGATACTGGGATGAAATATCTACTCAATGCTCCCAGACTTTCAATCTTTCTCCGAGTGGTGTAAGTCCATGAAACAACTGCAGTCCCCATAAACATCAAACTACGTTCACCAAAATGATATCACCAACTCAGTTGGGACTACTTTAACACTCATATGACGCGTGAATTTCTACACATCTTTACATATTCAATCAAAAATGAAAAAGAGAATGCAGTTTAACCGAAAAACTGTATTCTTTCTCGGCTATGCTATTCCCTGAAGCTATGCCATCGTATTTATACACTGTGGAAACAAACATTAAAAACAACAACGTTGTATCAATAATACAACATTCAAGATTACCTTAAAACCTTGTATCCATGCCAGGCCATCCAGTGGAACCCGAATATGAAACGACGAGTTTGGCTTTAGAGGGCGACTTGGAGGAGATAGTGTGGAGAAGACATGAAAGCTTCCGAGTAGTTGTGGAGCTAGGTTAAAAAGACTGCAGAGAAGAGAGTGAAATGGCGACGTGCTACTGAAGCCTCATGTTCCACCTGGAACCCCGAAGGACAAATAATAATAACATAATACGAAGAACAATAACACCACTCAGAAATATAATCATTTTGAAAACATCAAAATTGAAGAAAATTCTCTGCAAAATGTCAACTAGAGATGAGAACTGTTTTTTGGCGTGAGAACGAATGGTTAAGTCTACTTTGACTTATCACTGGGAAGTGACTGATTTCATCCTATAAACCATTTCTTGAATGTGGTCGATAGCTCAAGTAACGCATCATCTTGGTACGCTTTCATTAATGTTAATCAGCAGAAAACTCTGCGTAAAGAAGGTTTCGGGACGGTTGGCACTCGTCAGTTAGGCATATTTGGCAGCTGCTTCAACACTACGGAGTACCACGAACCTTTATCAACCTCATTCAACAGGTACATTCTATCCGATGATGCTACACGCGAAGTGATTCACAACAGGAGGCTCAATGTGTCTCTCAAGTGAAGACAGGAGTAAGACAGAACAGTACTGTCCCCGATAATCTTCCTGATTGTGGTCGACTGGACTAGACTGGACTGGATCATGCAACGAACTATGAGGAGCGAGAAGAGAGACATGGGCTGTTTGACCGATGAAACGACCCTAGAACATTTGAATTTCACCTATGATCATTTCTGTCAAATGTTAAATGTCGCATAAGCTCGAAGATCTACAGGCGAAAACCAACAAGTTGATACAACAGGCAGGACAGCAAAGAAGAGACTTCAAGTGAACGAAAAGAAGACAGAGGTGATGAACATATGCAAACAACAACAACAGCAAGCACCAATCACGTTCAACGGGAGAAATCTAAACGAAGTAGTCTCTTTTACGCACCTAACCAGGCAGCATCCTTTCAAATACAGGCGGTGGCACAGGCACAGATGAGGGTGTCAAAGCCAGCCAGGATAGGAAAAACACCAAGACAGGCCTTCCTGCATCAATCCAAAATCAGTGTGGAGATCTTCTGCACTCCGCTCCACTCAACATAAAGCGTGAACAACATCCGAATTTTCAACACTAAATCTGTCAAGTAAGTTAGGGGTTTGATGTGATGGTGGAAGAGAGACTTGACACGTTACGAACAGCATTTGCAACAAACTACAGACATTCATCAACAGCTGCCACCTACGCTCACTGGATACTGAAGATCAGATCAGATCAGATCAGATCAGATCAGATCAGATGGAAAGTCGAGAGAGAATAAATAAGGAGGAGGTTCGGCCTGCCAATGAACCAACCAACGAAGCAAGAAGCTATAACCCAGCAAATATGCAGAATAAAGTGGAGGTGGACTGGATTGAGCATACACTGGGAAGATGGTTTGGGGCATCTTGCCTCAGGCCAGGCCATTGAGTGGAAGGCATGTGGGAAAAGACGAGTCAATTGGGCGTTGGAGTATGATATAGGAGTGATGTTGTGAGGAAGAAATGTAGGGTTATGGGTAGTGGTGGAGGCAGGTTTGGAAGACTGTAGAGAAGAGAGTGAAATGGCTCTGTGCTACTGAAGCCGTATGTTCCACTAGGAATCCAAGGGACAAACAGTTTTGTTATTCGATATTCAATATATTTTGATCACTGACTAGAAATATTTCGGGAATGTTCTAAGAACTTTGATATATATTCACGAATGTACTGCTCAGTAAGTGATTTTATGGAGAAGAATGTTTTCCTTAGCTGTAATCATCTTTTTAGTTTTTTATTCCAGTTTTTTCTAAAATCTCTTTTGATAACCTTCATGTATCTAATAAACCGAAAAATTATCTCTCTACACTGTATTCAGCCAGTTTAGCTCTGAAACTGGATTATTCTAGTATACAACCGAATGATGTAACCGACTACCCATTTCAAAAAACTTCTCATCCATTCTATCATGTGAAAGTTGATTATGAATATGATTTACAGTATGGAGATATCAGTCCTTTATCAGATGTAGTTGTATCATACGGTAAGACAGGAGTATAAAGCAGAAATATACATCCTAGTTACCTTTTTCAATATAAAACAAAAGCATGAGCATGATAACATTGAGCATTGAACACTGATTTGCATGTATATCATATTGAACATTGAGCATCAACGTAGTAGATAATAATTTCTGAAATTTACCTATACCCTTCAAACATTTTGATGATTAGAACTATAATTTTTTTTTTCATTTTGTTTTAAACTTTAGGGGAACAAAATGAAGAAGCAGATTTATTTCCCCGACGGGTAGGTTAATAAAAATTGAATTAAAAACCAATAAACCTTTGAGATACGACGGTATTTATGTGTATGTTAGGGAGAAGAGTGTACAATGCTGATATTACTGATACATAAAAGAAGCACAGAATTTATTTGAAAAGAAAAACTTCCATAATTTCCTGCAAAAGTTGTTTAGGAAGCAGGAGGTTATCTAAGAAATGTTATGTACATTTGCGCTATGCATTTTGAACAATTTGATAACACTTGTACTTACTTCTCAAGGTTTATTAAGTGAAGGGTGAAAATAGGGTAGGGTCAGGTAAAGAAAGTAAGATAATACAAGATTTGAAGAATATAGGAATATAGGGATCACAGGGTATCAAAAAGAGTCTGCCAAACTACGGCTATCTCAGATTATTATTATTATTATTTATTATTTTTCCCTTGGGTTCCTAGTGGAACATAGGGTTTCAGCAGCATGCTTCAATCGTACTCTCTTCTCTGCAGTCTTTTCAACCTGGCCCCACAATTGCCTAGAAGCTTTCATTTCTTCCCCGCATCATCTCACCCATGTCATTCTCAGCTGGGACACTCAACTAGTCGTTTCCCATTTGGATTCCACTTAACGGTCTGGCCTGGCGCGTGATTTCCCGAATGGTCTTCTCATTGTATACCGAATCTATCTCCACTTTCTTCTCCTGCATATTTGTTGTGTGATAGCTTCTCGTTTCTTTGGTTCATTCCAGACTTCCTCCTTGCTTATTCTTTCTGGCCATCTGATATTCAGTATGGAGTGAGAGTAGGCGGCAGCTGTTGATGAATGTCTGTAGCTTGTTGGAAGTGCTATTCGTGACACGCTAAGTCTCTGAACCATATAGAAGCACTGACTTTACTGAACTGGTGTCGAAAACTGAGATCTTGTTCTTTACGCTGAGTACAGTGCAGTAGATCTCCACAGTGGTTTCATGTTAATGAACGCCTGTCTTGCTGTCTTTCCGATCCTGGCTGGATTTGACGCCCTCATCTGTGCCTGTGCCACCACCTGTAGTTGAAACGATGCTGCCTAGGTAGGTGGGTAGGCAAAAGAGGCTACTTCCTTTAGGTTTATCCCGTTGATGGTGACTGGAGCTGCTTGTTATTGTTGCTGGTGGCGGTGGCGCTGTTGTTAAGTATCATCATCACCTCTGTCTTCTGTACATTCACTTGAAAGAAAGTCCCGTCTTCGCTGCCCTGCACTGCCTCTTCTGTCAACGTGTTAGTTTTCTCCTGTACATCTTCGAGTTTGTGCGACATCAGACACAAGTCATCGGCGAAATCCAAGTCTTCTAGGTTCTTTTCTGCGGTCCAGCGTATCCCCTCTTCTCGCTCCTCATAGTTCGTTGCATGATCCAGTAGAGTCCAGCTCAGTCGACGACAATCACGAAGATCATGGATGATAATAGACAGCCTTGTCTTACTCCTGTCTTCATTTCGAAGGCATCATTGAGCTTTGCATTGTGAATTATTTGGTATGTGGCGTCTTCATATAGTTGTTGAGTGAGACTGATAAAGGTTTGTGGCAGTATAACTGTAGTGTTGAAGCAACCGCCTGCCAAATTACTTGTCGGTCGACGCTGTCGAAAGCTTTTTCAAATTCGGTCAAGTTAAGGTAGAGATCCAGTTGACTGCCATTCTATGCTAAAACTGGGGACCTTCTGTGTGTTAAACAGATGCTAAATAAAATTAACCTCTGCAGAATTCATTCAAGAGTGTTTTCAGACAGTTTCGGCAACACTATTGCACTCATCAAACACTTTATGAGATAATATTCTCAATAGAAATCACCTACATAAGCAGAAGGTTCAAAATTATTTCAAGCTTTTAACATCGTTTAAGGGAATCGTTTATCATTTTTCAAGTGTATGGTTGATTCATTCCTTTATGTTTAAAAAGTCAAAACATAAGATATATCTGAGTGTAACTGTATAAGCCACAGTTTTCTCAGCAGATTATATGGATTTTATCAACATGAAAATGTATAGTCAAACGACACATCAAATATTGTCCATGTAGTTCATTGATTAAGGAGTTTATTGTTCAGACTGAGTAATTATGATTCATCATTATAAACTCATATTTCTTATTGTCATTTGTCAATAAAAATGAAGGATAGTCAAAGTGTTTAGGCTTCATTCTCAAACAAACCGACTCCAAGTTTATTACTGCTCAAAACTATCATGCTTCTTTTCTGTGCACTCCACCTTTGGCCATTATGATAAGCTTTACTCATTACTGACCTTGGAGCAGAGCAGTTATACCAGGAATAAACCGAAGCACCATATTATCTAGGGGTTGAAAAGTCATAGACTTCATTGATGAGCTATTTCTTATTCACTTTCCGGTACTAAGGTAATCCTTACTAGTTTCTTTTCCTTCACTCAGTGATCTGATTTGCGGCCAAGATGAAATTGTCAATATGTATGTTACACACCCTTGATACAAACCACAGACCAGTTCACAGGACCAAGACCTACCTGTCTCAATTCACATGTTTATACATATATACATATAATTGTTATTATTAAGTCACGACTCGAACGCAACCCACCTCATTATAAATTAATCTGATCTTCTACACTAGACTTGATTGCGGTTAGAAAAAGTCAAATTAGGTCTGAGGGCAGGTTTAATATGGTAAGCAGAACTTAACCTTTTGACAACTGATTTCCACCTTCTCAAAATAAAACTTTCTTATCCCACTCTCATTGAGGTAATAAAGAAAGTACTTTTGCAAGATGCTATGGAGGTAAATCAATAAATTCTTGATACACACCTTTATGAATTGATAGTAATTTAAAGGTTCTTGAAGGCTACTGATCATGGAATTGTAGAGTTCTTTCAGTTTCTGATTCCTGATCTAAAATACTTATAGAATGAAATTTATGAAGTTCACGATTTATAAATGATAGTGGTCTGAGGGTTTTGCCGATTTGGAAATGAGAATGAATGTCTACTAATGTTGATAGATAACAGATGGGTAAACTGAATTACAGTTCGTTCTGTCCCGTTATATGTCTGTAACACATGTTCATCAGAAATAGAAAATATGAAGTGGTTATAGGATTTTGACCACTGGTGTATAATGAAATCACCATGTTGGCAATGTACAGGTTTGGTGAAGTATACTAAGCAAGGAAAGAAAGTCGGCCGATGAAGTTGGGAACCTTCAGAGACTGCAGTTGCTTAGAAATGTGCTGCGCATGCTAAGCTACCACTCAGGCTCACTAATTCAACACGTCCTACCAGTACATGAAGTCACTGACTTTTGATCTGACCCATGTAAGAAGGTGTAGATTGTTTAGGTAGGGTTCCCAAGGTGAATCTTCGTGAAATAGCAGTGAACCGGTCACAATGGGGCAGATATATTCACTCCTTAACACTTTTTTAAGTTTGAACGTTTTAATTAAATCCCACTTTTAAATTCCTTCATCTTCTTTGACATCACTCTTTTTCCACTCACTTGTTCTTCGTACTCTGCTGTTAAGTGCGGAAACTTGTGGTTATGCTATTGTGTGAAAGGTTCTACGCTAATCTTATCTGTCTCTCTGTTTGTCCGAAATTGCGAAATAGACTTCTTTTCAACTTTGATTCACATACAACAAGGGCCAACCTTAGTTCAAAATCCAAATGGAAAATGATCGCTCTTTTTATGCAAAATTATCTAGTATAAACCCAATGTCCCATGATTCCATTTTGTTTTGAATGAATCAGGATAATGCATATTTATTATCTAGTGGATAACAAGCTTTCAAGGAGATCGATCCCGGGACAATATCTCCTACTGAGGTGCATATACATCCGGCTGATGAGTCCCGAAAAGGACGAAACACGCGTCCTGGGTTCCATTGCTAACATATTACCCATCACTGTTTTCTAATTAATTTTGTTCAAAAATAATAATTGTATAACCTAATGACATAAAATAGAAATTCATCTCAGTCCTAAATAATCATGAAGCGGTGGAACATTGATATATGATGTCAGGTTTCAACTACTGGGTCATAGGTTTGAACTCACCTCCACCTACTGAGGTTTGAGCGGCTAGGTGGTGTTGTTAGCTGTCATACAATAACTTTAGAATCAGGTTGCTGAGAAGATTTTGATTTCGGACTCTTTGTGATTCGTTTCTAAATTTTAAAAAAAATATATAACCCACTTTCTATAACGACAAAATGAGTTTTTATTTGAATTGTAGCCAAGAATACAAGTTGTACGTTCGCCTGTTGAAGCGTCTGGTCAACCGCCAAGTAAGTTTTCTTAAACCTCATTTGTGGTAAATTTTAGAAACTCACAGTATAGTCAGTAATGTCACTAATCATATTCACCTGAAACCTGAAATATTAACCGATGTGTTAATTTACTAGAAATATTATTGTTACTGAAACTGAAGAAAACCGATGACTTTTGAAGGTGGTTCGCTATAAAACGACATTATAGTGATATTTATCCTAGATATACTTGTGAAAAATGTGCTGTTTCAAGGTCACTGAGTTTCAAAGACGAAGTGACTTCATAAGCTGAATGCCAATCGTAATGGAAGAAAACTAGAAACAGGAAATTTTCACTATTGAACTTGATACTACGGAAGAAGGATAATGCTGCGGATATCCATAGGAAGTGACTATCAAAATGCATAAAAAGAACATATTTTCTGTCGTCAATCTTAGAATCACACTCCTCTATCAGAAACTCGTTCATCAGTAAGTGAGGGATAAGTTAAAACATTGAAACATATCAGTGTGTGTGTGTGTATAGAGCCGATTATATCTGTCTTATCATGTTCCAGTTTGGGAAATATACACATGACCACTCACTACCTATCATTGTCAGACTGTCATCATTTCATTTGGTCCTTAGCAGGAGTTAGCTAAAATTTACAGAGTAGAACCGATCCCAGATATTCATAATGAAAAGCTCAGCGATGCGTTTGAAGTGAAGACAGGAGTAAAAAAAAGGCTGCTTACTAACACCTATGACTTTCCTTGTTTTGGCCAACCAGACTGGAACATGCAACAGACAACTGTGAGTAGCGAGAAGATGGGCATAGCTGTTTGACCGATGAAAAGACCCTAGAACATTTGGATTTCGCCCATGATGGTTGATGTATAATGTCTAATATCGCACAAACTCGAAGATGTACAGGCGAAAACCAACAAGTTAGTAGAAAACGTGAGGCAGCAAAGACGGGATTTCCTTCAGGTGAACGTAGAGAAGATGAGGCTGATGAAGACACCCAACTAACAACAACAGGTATCATCACCATCAAGGACAGAAATGTAAAGGAAGTCGTCTCTTTCACCTACCTACCTACCCACCTACCTACCTACCTACCTGCCTAAGCAGCATCTTTTCAAATACAGGCGGTGGCACAGGCACAGATGAGGGTGTCAAAGCCAGCCAGGATAGGAAAACACCAAGACAGGCCTTCCTGCATCAATCCAAAATCAGTGTGGAGATCTTCTGCAAGGCACTGCACTCCACTCCACTCAACATAAAGTGTGAACAACATCCGAATTTTCAACACTAAATCTGTCAAGTAAGTTAGGGGTTTGATGTGATGATGGAGGAGAGACTTGACACGTTACGAACAGCATTTGCAACAAACTACAGACATTCATCAACAGCTGCCACCTACGCTCACTGGATACTGAAGATCAGATCAGATCAGATCAGATCAGATCAGATGGAAAGTCGAGAGAGAATAAATAAGGAGGAGGTTCGGCCTGCCAATGAACCAACCAACGAAGCAAGAAGCTATAACCCAGCAAATATGCAGAATAAAGTGGAGGTGGACTGGATTGAGCATACACTGGGAAGATGGTTTGGGGCATCTTGCCTCAGGCCAGGCCATTGAGTGGAAGGCATGTGGGAAAAGACGAGTCAATTGGGCGTTGGAGTATGATATAGGAGTGATGTTGTGAGGAAGAAATGTAGGGTTATGGGTAGTGGTGGAGCGAGGTTCTGAAGACTGCAGAGAGGAGAGTGAAATGTAGACGTGCTACTGAAGCCGTATGTTCCTCTAGGAACCCAAAGGAAAGCTGGTAACTATAATAAATTGATGGCAGATTGTTATCAACGGAAGGACTACTGAAAACCTCAGAGAATGAGGTAGTCGTTTCCTCCTAACTTGAGAGTTCCCACCAGTGAGTACAAACAACCGGGTTTAGAATCAAACCTAGAGCCGTCAGATCTGTAGGGCTGAACATCAACATCTGGCCACTGAGCTGAAATCCAATGATCCACTTTCCCACACTTCTATCATTTCGGTGCCCATCGCAAACATCACCTTAAGTCGCTGGAGAGTATCTGTTACCAATCCCGACTACGCTTGTCTGTGGAACTTTTAGAAATGAATGTTGTAGCCACTTACTAATATGCTGTCTAGCCAGTGTCAATCTGTGAGGAATACTGAGTTCAACAACTATCATATGCTGAGAATATGTTCGAGGTCACAAACATAACTAACGTTTAGATCTATTGTCGTGTTTTCATTATAAATTGTAGTTTCTTATTCCATATTATTTCAATTTCTTAATTTTAATTTTACTTCAAATTTCTTTCAACTTCATTTTTGTTTTAGCAACTTCATCTAGGAGTAGAACATTCTCTGAATCACCAACAGCTTATCATACTCAAGGACCACCGTATACAAAGCCAAGACAATCCTATACCTCTCCTACTAAAAGATCGTAAGTTTAAATTTATTCAGATAACTATTCCTTGTCAACAACTTATGTCAGGCTGTCCACTTACACAGCGTACTCTACTACTAACAGTTGCCTAATTAGAATTATTCTAAGGTAGTATTCAGCATATACCTCACCTGGAGTCGAATCAAGGACCTTCGAGTTTCATAACGAATACGTGAACATTGAGCCAATGGGGGAAGATTCAATGGTATACATTTTCCTAGGAGTTGTGTTAAAATAGTTCAGTTCAGTTCTAGTCAGCTATTTCAATTTACTATGGAAATAAGACCCCGACCTTCGTTAAAAAGTGAAGGATACAAGAAATAAAAAAGCTGGGAGAATTGAAAAAAAAATAGTGGTGAACTTGACTGATCGAATGAATGACCTTGAGATATTATTATATTATTATTTGTCCCTTGGGTTCCTAGTCGAACATAAGGCTTAAGTAGCACGCCTCTATTACACTGTCTTCTCTGCAATCTTTTGAACCTCGATCCAAGACTGCCCACAAGCTCTTACTTCTTCTTCACACCATCTCCTCCATGTCACCCTCAAATCCGACGCCCAACTGGTCGTTCCCCATCTGGCGCGTGATGTCCCCGAACGGTCTTCTCACTGCATGCCCAATCCAATCCATCTCCACTTCCTTCAACTGCATATTTGTTGAGCGGTAGCTTCTTGCTTCGTTGGTTCCTTTCCAGTCCAGAAATCCTTGATGCTAATTCTTTTTAGCCATCTGAGCTTAGGTGACGAGTTAATGAATATCTGTAGTTTGTTGGAAATGCTTTTGGTAACGCGCCAAGTCTTTCAGCCGTACAGAAGCACTGACTTGACGTTAACGTTGAACATCTTGTTCTTTATGCTGAGTCCAGAAGATCTCCACCTTGAGATGTTCATGTTTAATCCTAACAAGACCTCGAGGTCTAGGGTTTGATAACTCAAAGGGTTGTGGGTATGTTTTACTGAGGAGTTTGTCACTAGGACGAAATAGCTATTCAATAGTCACAGGTTCTCTGAATGGTTCTCCAAATGATGTGCGTTCATGATGAATACTACCTTAAAAATATATTAATCTGCGAAAAATGAGAGGAAACCAAGCTTCAGTGGATGGCTTCGCACTAAAATATCAAAACCTATAAGGTTATCGAAGTAGCTTTTTTGCCGACATTTTAACGGGTTAGGAATAAAGAACCTCAATGAGGTCCCCACTCTAGTGCTAAACATTACTCCAAATTTTAACCCCCTAGACACCGATGTTTGATTGCAAATAGCTTTAAAAGATCCTTTTAGACCTGGAGCTGTAAAATCTCGGAACTTTGTGCTGTTTTATGACTTGAACCTCAGAGGCTAGATTTCAACCTTCCTCAGCTGCTTTTGTAGGGTTTTTGAAGTTAGTCTTGGTCATTTTTCAAACCAAACTGCTAATCTTCGGTTAGTTTTATGGTCATAACTCTTTGATCATCTTTACAAATTTCTTTTGTCCTCACAACAAAAACCTCATCCGTTTCGCATAAAATGAAAACGCGCTTTTGATTGGTTTCTTCAAGGTTACCAATCAAATTATGTAAGCTCAGTCTAAACTTCCTACTCTGGCTTATCCAGACTGATTTTTTGTGTTTATTTTTAGAACAATTTGAGATCAGATTTCATCAGTTATTTAAGATCGTTTGACACTTAGATTATCACAAGCGAGTAGAGTTTAGTAGTGACCTTGTGGATCAGTATTTTACTTGATCTGAATGAATGAAACCGGTTTCAGTATAGGCTACAAGTTACTTCAATAGGTAAGTATCATAGGATAAATAAATAAGTTGAAACTAAAGGTCTACAGAAAGTATTCCTTGGAACTGCCTGTTTCAAGCGGAACCAATTAATATAAGGGTTACTGATTTGAACTACACCCTTGAGTGGAATCCAAAGGAGAAATGACGAGTTGGACATCCTAGACGAGGGTGACATGCAGGAGACTATATGAGGAAGAAATGAAAGCTTGTGGGCAGTCATGGTGACAGGTTGAAAAGACCGCAGAGAATAGAGTACAATGGAAATGTGTTACTGAAGCCGTATGTTCCACTAGGAACCCAAGAGAAAAATAATTATAGTAATAATTTGAACAACAACCGACTGGTTATTCAAAGCGAGTGTTGACTAACAATCAGATGAAATAATCATAAACGAAATTATTACTTGACTTAATTGCTCAAACTTAAATCATATTTGACCTCATGGACTAAAAGATTAGTAAACGGTTGGGTTTATTTTCTATTCTATGCTATAAAGCACTATCTTATTGGATTTGTTTATTTGATTTATAATATACAGTGGTGATACAGTATTATTTACTTGATGAAGACGTTTCAAGCATAAATTATCATTGCTCATAATCACATCAATGTGTAATCACACACTACTTCCGACATTTGATCTTTATAATTATGTCACCTTATGTGAGTTGTTTTTATTGGTAGAACAGTTTTCCATAACTCTGGTATATCTGGGTGTTGCGTCATCATTCCTATTACATGTGTTGGCTGGGTGTTGATTTGATGAAGAAAGATTCAGTAATCAGTCTCTCCCTCTGTCCACCTAATTCTATTAGACTTAATTACAGTGGTTTTATCCCAACCTATTGTGTGGTTCTGTGTTAATCCAAGCAATAGCCGAGTAACTTTCTAGATTATTGATCTTATTCGGGTCAATCATTCTATATTTAGCTAAATCCCTATGTTCGGCTATTCTGTCTGACCCCGGCCGACTAGTTTCACTTATGTACTTAACCTAACTCACAGTCATTACATGGAATTTGATAGACTAGATTATTTCGCTTAATTGGTTTTATCGGATCCTTCAACTCGCTGACAAACCTTATCTCTGAGTGAGTTTGTAGTTTTAAATGTCACCATAGCTAATTCCAAGTTTGTTGACGATCCCACATAAAGCTTCTGATATGCGTCCCTTGTAGGGAAACACAAAGGAGGTTGTGAACTCCTTTCTACTTGTATTGTCGTTATTATTCTTACTAGTGTTACTGCTGCGGTCTTTTCGTTTGTTGTGTGTTCGTACGAATTTCTTGATAAACTGTGGAGGATAGTTATTAAGTATAAGTGCTTCGTTGACATGTTTCAATTCCTTGTTTAGGTCATTGCACTGACTAGTCAGTTTTCTAGCTCTATCGCCTAGACATTTGACTAATCCTGCCTTCACTGACTGACATTGGATGGGATGACTTGAAGTCTAGAGACCTGTTGGAATGTGCCGGTTTTGTGTAGACGGTAGTATCCAAACAGTCATCTGTCATTCATTTTATCCTGCAATCTAACGTAGGTAATTCTCCTTGTTCATTTTCTACCTCCTTGTAAGTGAATTGGATTGTGTTTACTACTGAGTTTATATGTGTAAGAAAATTGTCGATATGTTCCGATTTCACCACAGTAAATATATCATCCACATATTGCCACCATATTTTTGGCGTAAGATTAAACGTTTGTAAGACCATGTTTTTCCAACTATCCATAAATATATCTTCTACACTCCACTCAGCATAAAGTGTGAACCAAATCCCGATTTTCAACACCAAATCAGTCAAGTCACTGCTTCTGTGTGACGGTTTAGAGACTTGACGCTTTACGAAAAGCATTTCCAACAAACTGCAGACATTCATCAACAACTACTCCCTATGCTGGCTCGTTACTGAAAATGACGATCAGATGGCGGGAGTAATAAGAGTAAACAACAAGGAATTTTGGCTGGTTGGCAACGAACCAACGAAGCAAGAAGCTATCGCTGAACAAATATGCAGTGGAAGGAAGTGTAGATGGATTGGATTGGGCATGCAGTGAGAAGATCGATTGGGGACATCACGCGCCAGTTGGGAAACGGCGAGTTGTGCGTCGGATTTGAGGGTGACATGGAGGAGATGGTGTGAGGAGGAAATGAGAGCTTGTGGGCAGTCATGACGTCAGGTTGAAAAGACTGTGGAGAACAGAGTGTAATGGAGACGTGCTAGTGAAGCCCTATGTTGCACTAAGAACCCAGGTGACAAATAATAGTAATAATAATAATAATGACTGATGACGATCGCTTCCTTAAATTTGTAAATTTATTCATGTTGACTCCTCGGTGGATATTTTGCACATCACTTGTGTTCATTCAGCCTAACTTTTAAGCATCTACAACTTTCTCGTAGGAACTGTATCTTACATTTTGACTAAGATCTTTTCTAATCAATTTTAAGGTTTAAGACTGACTTTACTACCGTATATGGAAGATACATTTGTCATTTTTAGCAAACAAGCTAACTGGCAATTTTAGAATGTATAAATTAAATTTCATATTCTATTGAAATCACTAGCAAAATAGAAAACATGGATGAGACTCCAAACTTCTTGGAATGCCTTATCTAAACAACAATAGAAGGTAAATTCAGTATGAAAATATACAGAAACTTTAAATTAGATCGTCCAATTAATGTAAAAGGTAGTATCTCACTGAACCTACTATACATAGTGTAAAAAATCGTAACCAATTGTAAAGATTTGGAAAATGAAATCTCTAGAATAAGGCAAGGTTTAATAGAAAATGGAACAATCTAAAATGTCCTTTAACAAGATTATCGATCAAATGAATAAAATAACAAGTACTAATACTCATAGTAATGAAGGTATAACAAAAATATGTCCATCATGTATGATGATACTATAACGGAAATGTACTTCTGAACAAATTAGAAGCGTAAATACTTCGCATGGTGTTAAATTTTGTTTTAAACCTTCAGATTGATTAGAAAAGATCATAGTCAAAATAAAAGATACAATTCCTACGAGAAAGTTGAAGATGCTTAAAAGTTAGACTGAATAAACACAAGTGATGTGTAAAATATCCACCGAGGAATCAATATGAATAAATTTACAAATTTAAGGAAGCGATCATTAATAGTTATGCATGCAACCAATCGAATGTGGACAGAGGATCGACTTTGAGAATGTGAGGAGATATATTGAGAAAAGGTTTCCATTCACTTGAAGAACGTTTGACTTGTGAGGTCGTGCATAAAATGCTTTCAACAGAGAAGAGGACGAGACTTGAGATGATCCTTTCTAATTGAAAATACAATAACAGCGACTACCATTGACAATTTATAAATCAAAGTAAATGAAATGACACAAAGTCTACTACACATATGAAGAAATGCACACACACACACACACACGCACACATACTTTGACCATCCTGCATATTCGCTGACATATGACATTAACAAAGATGAACCTGCAATTATTATTATTTTTCCCTTGGGTTCTTAGTCGAACAAACGTCTCCATTACACTCTGTTCTCCACAGTCTTTTCAACCTGACGTCATGACTGCCCACAAGCTCTCATTTCTTCCTCACACCATCTCCTCCATGTCACCCTCAAATCCGACGCACAACTCGCCGTTTCCCAACTGGCGCGTGATGTCCCCAATCGATCTTCTCACTGCATGCCCAATCCAATCCATCTACACTTCCTTCTACTGCATATTTGTTCAGCGATAGCTTCTTGCTTCGTTGGTTCGTTGCCAACCAGCCAAAGTTCCTTGTTGTTTACTCTTATTACTCCCGCCATCTCATCGTCATTTTCAGTAACGAGCCAGCATGGGGAGCAGTTGTTGATGAATGTCTGCAGTTTGTTGGAAATGCTTTTCGTAACGCGTCAAGTCTCTGAACCGTCACACAGAAGCAGTGACTTGACTGATTTGGTGTTGAAAATCGGGATTTGGTTCACACTTTATGCTGAGTGGAGTGCAGAAGATCTCCACACTGGTTCCAGATTAATGAAGGACTGTCATGCTTTTCTTTGTTTTCCTGATTTTGACATCCTCATCTGTACCTGTGCTACCGCGTGTAGTTGATATGATGCTGCCCTGCCTAGGTAGGTGGGAAGGCGAAATAGGCTACTTCCCTTAAGTTTATCCCGTTGATGGTGATTGGAGCTTGTTGTTGGTGGTAGTGGTGGCGTAGTTTGGGTATCATCATCAACTCTATCTTCTGTACATTCATTTGAAGGGAGTCCCATCTTCGCTGTCCTACCCTGTCCTGTCCTGCCCTGCCCTGTCCTGCCATGCCATGCCATGCCGTGCCTCTTCTGTCAACTTGTTGGTTTTCTCCTGTACATCTCTGACATAGTCAGACTTCAAACATATATCATCGTCGACGAAATTCAAATCTTCTAGGATGTTTTCCCCAGTCCAGTGTATCCCCTCTTCTCGCCTCTCACTTTTTGCTGCATGATCCAGTTGTCCATCAGAATCAGGAAGATCATGGATGATAGTAGTCTGCAGCCTTGTCTTACTCCTGTCTTCACTTCGAAGGTGTCGTCGAACTTTGCATTGTGAATCACTTAGCATGTGGCTTCTTCATGTAGTTGTTGAATGAAGGTGATAAATGTTTGTGGCACTAAAACCGTAGTGTTGAAGCAGTTGCCATCAATGGTTATGCATGCAAACTATCGAATTTGGAAAGAGGATTGACTTTGAGAATGTGAGGAGATATATTGAGAAAAGGTTTCCATTCACTTGAAGAACGTTTGACTTGTGAGGTCGTGCATAAAAAGCTTTCAACGGAGAAGAAGGACCAGACTTGTGATGATCCTTTCTAATTGAAACTACAATAACAGCGACTACTATTGACAATTTATTGATATACTCGTGATTCTGCATTATTTAATCGGATGGGATTTTTTGACCTCTATTAGGAATTGGGCTATTATGCAGATGCCTGGATATTGCCTGAATTTTAATTATGGTAATTAATTATGGTATACGAATACACACACACAGTTTGACTATCCTGCATATTCGCTGACAAATGACAATACCAAGGATGAACCTGCCATGACTAATCTTAATTATAATTTGACTATCTGAGATAGCCGTAGTTCCGCAGACTAATGTTTATATTGGGTGATGGTTGAAGGTGGAGTGGAAATGTGTACCGCGGCTGGATTCGAACCACTGACCACAGGGTTTCTGCTCCAATGCTCTATCAACCTAGCTACGAGGTCCAACTCATGGCCAGATATTTTATTTCACTTCAGTTACGATATTCAGCCAGTTTGGATACGATCAAGCGGTAGTAACGCGTCATGAATTCACATGGTAGTCGAACAAAACTCTTGGTGATTGAAGTGAAATGAAAATCTGGTCACCAGTTGGACTTTGTTACTCAGTTGGTAGAGTATCGGGTCGGAAACCCGGTGGTGGCTGGTTTGACTCGAACTGCGGTTCAAATTTTCATTTCACCTTCAACCATCACCTAGTATAATCTTAATTACTCAGATTGGACGGAAAACAACCACTCAACCAGTGACCCATGTTCGTTAAATATATTTGATGTATCATTCCACTATATATTTCGGTGTTTAGCTGTAGAATAAACAATGAAACGTTCTCAGTACACTGGGACTATATTCTTATGGTGATTAGATCTGACTCATCGCTCAACTTCTTCCAGGACATTCGTACCAACTATTTTCTAGATGTTTATAATCTTGTTTTAATTAGAGGCTATTCGGAGGTCATTTATTCATTTTAGTGTCGAAAAAACACCTTCAAAGTATTAGTTGAAATTTATATCTTAGAAATCTTGAAGAAAAAGTCTTCACGCATTTTAAAAAGTTGATTATTTGGATTGGAGGAAAAAGGTTAAACTTTTGCCCATCTTCACGGATGAATAAATTGATGCTGAATAGTACTTGATTCGAAGTTAATTATTCTAAGGTTATAAAATACGCATGTTATTGGACCTAGTCTTTGTAAATTTCTTCTATGCAACTAACACTGTTCACCTATATTCTTTACAGACAATTCTGGGGACACTCAAGTTATGATGAACAATGGACAAGACAACCAGTTGGTAAGTGAACATACTGTAAACTCAATTTTCAAGTTTGTGGAGATTTATTGATTTCAGGTTGGTGTACATCATGGACCGATATCATTTGAAGAGACATTGAAAACCTGAGTGCATTGGACAGCCAGCTGTTCCGCCTCAGTACTGGACCCTTCATCAGTTGAGCACTCATGACCCCACCCCTCCAGAGTCTGAACTCAGGACCTTCAGGTTTCGTAGCCAGCAGGTCACCATTAAGCCACTGGGTAGGAATCCAATGGTCCATTTTCCCAACTTCTGTCAATTCGCGATATAGCGTGACCATCACCGGTCACGGCTTCTTGTTGAAACTTCAGGAATCACCTGTCGAATCTAGTTATCAGCGAGCACTAGATGTCAGTCCATGATGAATAACAACCTGAAATCAATAAATTCTCACGAACCTTAAAATTGAATTATTCTGGTGCTTGTTGGTGGCTAGCTTCGAGAGCTGAGTGCAGAAGTTCATCACACTGGTTTCAGTTTTATGAGCGCCTGTTTTGCTCTCTCTCCTATCTTGGCAGATTCGACATCCTCATCTATACCTGTGCTGCCGCCTGTAGTTGATTTGATGCTGCCCTGCCTAGGTAGGTGGGTAGGTGAAAGAGGCTACTTCCTTTAAGTTTATCCCGTTGATGATGATTGGAGCTTGTTGTTGTTGTTGTTGGTGGTGGTGGTGGTGGTGGCGGTGGTGGTGGTGTAGTTTAAGTATCATCATCACCTCTGTCTTCTGTACATTCACTTGAAGGGAGTCCCATCTTCGCTGTCCTACCCTGTCCTGTCCTGCCTGCCCTGCCCTGCTCTGCCCAACCATGCCCTGCCCTTTCCTGCCCTGCTCTGCCCTGCCCTGCCATGCCCCGCCTTGCCTCTTCTGTCAACTTGTTGGTTTTCTCCTGTACATCTCTGACATAGTCAGACTTCAAACATATATCATCGTCGACGAAATTCAAATCTTCTAGGATGTTTTCCCCAGTCCAGTGTATCCCCTCTTCTCGCCTCTCACTTTTTGCTGCATGATCCAGTTGTCCATCAGAATCAGGAAGATCATGGATGATAGTAGTCTGCAGCCTTGTCTTACTCCTGTCTTCACTTCGAAGGTGTCGTCGAACGTTTCATTGTGAATCACTTGGCATGTGGCTTCTTCATGTAGTTGTTGAATGAAGGTGATAAATGTTTGTGGCTCTATAACTGTAGTGTTGAAGCAACTGCCTGCCAAATTACTTGTCGGTTGACGCTGTCGAAGGCCTTTTGAAATTCCATGAAGTTGAGGTAGAGATGCATTTCACTGCTATTCTATGCTCTGTCCAATGATGATGCGTAGCGTAGCGTTGCAACTTGGTCCGCATATGATTTGTACTTCCTGAATCCAGCCAGCCTATTCCGGTGGTAGTTTTGAATCCAGCGCATCCTTTAGTCTCTCCAGGATAATGCAGCCTAATATTTTGCCTGGGGTGGACAGCAGCATGATTCCGCGCCAGTCCTTGCAAAGACTTCGTTCGCCCTTCTTTGGGAGTTTGACAAAGTATCCCTTCTTCCAATCAATAGGCAGCCACTTTTCCTTCCTTCCAGACCTTCTGAGATGGTGGTGTGAGCATGTCCGCTTTTATCTCTGCGTCTGTTCTCAATGCTTCTGGTGGGATTCCATCTGGTCCTGCTGCTTTCCCTCATTTCGGTAACTTTATGGCTTTCAGAACTTCGACTTTCGTCAGAGGGCTTGTGTTCGCTGGTAGTTCTGTTACTGCAGGTGGCATTTCTGGACGAAGTGCAGGTGGTAGTCGATTCAAAAGCTTTTTTAGGTGGTCAGCCCATCGTTTCCTTTGTTTACCTTCTTTGGTAATGGTGAAAACAGTGAGAAATCTGAATTCCAAGTATGCAGGGATGTGGTGTGGAAAAAATATGACTTTTAGGGTAAAAAGTTTTCTAAAGTCGGGTTTACTGCCAACAAAGTGACTGGACAATTTTTTTAATTCAGAATCTGAATCGTTATGACTTCCGTATTTCGAAGGAATTTCAGAGGAACACCTTTCATACTGTCTAAATAGACTCTGTGTATGACAGTGAATCTGTTTTCTGCATTTTTATCGGTTGGTCAGAATCAATCAAATATTGCAAGACAGTGCTGTGAAATACTGTCTCGTATCTTTTGTGAAACCAGACTGTTATATATTTAAAAATGTCTTTAGAAAACGGTTGCCAAGTATCATCAACGTATCTTATTCCATAAAAGAAGACGAAGTGGTAAACACACATGGAAATGGCCAAGAAAGTTAACTTATCAGTAAAGCATAATCGAAGCATGAGGAAAGGAGAGAAAATTCATCTGATTTTAACAGAAAAGAAATTCTTTCTCAATGAGCATGCAAAATGACTTCTTAATAGTTTTACTGATAGGTTTCCATGGGATTTTATATCTACAAAAAGATTTTCAAAACCATGGAAGTAAAATTAATATCTTATCTCAGTTTCCTAGTGTTTACAATGAAACACTTAGGATATCGGTTTCCAATCAAAACAGTTCTGCAAAAATCAAGTTCATCTTCCAAATTATCAAAATCATAGATAATTTAGGTCCTATAGATGCTCTTGCCTCTCTATAAGTTCCACTCTTCTGTGGTGGAAAAAATAACAGCAAAATAGTCACAGTATACTCCTAGTGAATAAGTTGATTAGTTGGAAACAACTCAGGCTCTGGTCTGTAAATTTCACCAGTTAAACAGATCAGATTCATCTAAGCACCGAACGGCTAGTCCGCTTGTTTGAAGCTGAGCTCATCAGTGGTGTGTAGGTATGTCCACGTACTACGTATGCCTAGTCACTGATTGCCTCGTCACACAATGTTGGCTGAGGTGGGTCCAGGCTAGAAAAAGGCTCGAGGTGGCCAGACTAAAACATAGCACCAATGTATGAAGTCTCTGACTGTTGGTTTAAGCCATGTAGGACGATGCAGACTAGGTGGTTGGGGTCCACGGGACAAGAGGAATCAGTGGTTGGAGACCCTAGGTGATATGGCTCAGAACCGAAGTCAGTGGCGTAGATGTATACACACATTATCCTCATCTTAACAACGCTATACCAAATCTCACCATTTTGTCACTCCTCTTTCCTTTCTTCTCGTACTCTATATTTCTTTTGACTGCATTCACTTATCTTCATCCTTCGCCTCACTACCTTTTTACTTGATGTGCTGATATGAGGTGTGGCAAGTTGGATCGTTACGCAGTAATGCTTGGTCCTATGTTGATAATGATGATGATGAGGTATGTCCAGCTGATGACTTTCAAGGAGGACGAAGTGCGCATTGTGGGTCCTTATTCTAACCACCAAGCAGATTACAACATAAAAAGACAGTAGGTCATTGAAACTCTACATAGGTGAACTATGAGGGTTATTTTTATCATGATAACTGGTAGAAATCGTAAGTCGGAGTGTTTCTAAAATCATCTTTTCAGTTGTTCTTATATTAAGTAGCATTCGCTGTATTAAGCCAAAGTAGGAGTTATGTCAAAACGTAGCAGTCTTATACTTAATGGTTTTGATTTCAAGGTAGTATCGATCAAGGACTGGCGTCGGTTTGAGAGTTATTGTAGAGCTGGAAACACTAGACACCCACTCTTTCCTATTGTGGGAACCTATGGCAGTGCGCACTCAAGACGTACGAGAGACCGAGTTCAGGGTCGTATGTTTTAGGGACAAGTGCATCACCATTTACTCCCTGGACTGGAATTCGCTGATTATTTCGCCTCATACCCGAATTTGTGAAGATGACTAATCATGATTTCAGGAGACTTATCTCGTAACAAGCCACTGATGAGCATTGAGAATCGCTTGATTTCCAAGCAGCATACATTATAAACTGACATTACTTGGAGAACCACTGAAGAACTTGGAGTATTGACTATCTATTTCGTTCCAGTATAAGATCCCTCAGCGACGCGTACCCACCCCATAAACCTCAAAGCTGACTAGTTTTGATCATCAGCGTAAATGTTTCTACGCTATGATGAGGATTTCAGTCACTTCCCATTGTCTACGTTCATTAAACATTTGATTTTACAAATGAGTTATGTTTCACTGATCTTATCAATGAGTAAGAAATCAGATTTAATTTACCCATTCAATCAACACAATTCCTACAACAAGTTTGTCCTTAAAGTAGAAAGGCACAAGTGATATCTCTGTTTCATCATTTGAAATGACTGCCGTAAGAATACTCCGCTTTGTACATGTAGTTAGTAAATTGAAATACTATTGACTAAAAACCCTTTTAAAATTATGTATAATTGAAAAACTACTTCACTCTTCTTTAAATTGCACACCTAAAATTTTTCTTCGATTAGACGTGAAGCAGTTAAGAATCATATTGAGTACAGTTAACTAGACCAAGATGATTAGGAGAGTATACTGCATATTGTAGACCACTGTCATATGTCATTGCTGAGCATCTTGCCTTGTATAACTAGTAAATGCAACAACATGTTTTTAAGTATGAGAGTAGGGACTCACCTTGTCTAAAAGTTATAAGCTTGTACTTCAAAATGGTCAGCTGAACATCAGTGTCAGACTTCTCTCTTAAATGATTTATTCGATACATCATACAGTGAACAAACAGTGTTATTAACTGGATTACGTTTTGGACGCAACCTATCTATTATCCATGATCATATCAAGATTTTCAATGCCAACTCAGTCAAGTCAGTGCTGCTATATGGTTCAGAGACTTGGCTCGTTACGAAAAGCATTTCAACAAACTACAGATACTCATCAACAACTGTCCCCTATGCCGGCTCGTTACTGAAGATGGCGATCAGATGACAAGAGTAATAAAAATAAGCAACAAGGAACTCTAGCTGGTTGGCAACTGGAAGGAAGTGGAGATGGATTGAGCATGCAATGAGTAGACCATTCGGGCACATCACACGCCAGGTCAGGCACTCGATTGGAACGTAGTTGGGAAACGATGAGTTGGGCGTTCGAGGCAATGGTGACATGGAGGAGATGGCGTTAGGAAGAAGAAATGAAAGCCTCTGGGCTGTTGTGGAGCCAAGTTTAAAAGATTGCAGAGAAGAGAGTGTAATGGAGGCGTGCTACTGAAGCCGTGTATGTTCGACTAGGAACCCAAGGGACAAATGATAATAATATCAAGATAGCTCCACAACTTTAAGATATGATATATATAGTTGTCATTCTCTCACCTTCTTTGTGATATAAATAGTAGAGCCTTCCGTATATTTGGAATAGGCTCTAAATTCAGACTTATTGCTTATTATAACCTGAAACAGATAGACCAGTTGATATACATTTAGAGGACAGTTAAAAAAGTGATTACTTTTCATATGATCAGTCTGTATATCAATATACTGATTGACATGGTTCTATAGGCAATCGAAAATGAGCTTGGTAATGCCTATCAGCTGACGTTTTGAACGATGATACCAGTAAAGGAGACCATTCAAGAATTGTAACAATGTCTAACTTCTATATAGTCCCTAGGTTTAGAATAAAATATGCAAATTAAGGGAGAAGCATTGCCACTGGATGACCAATATTCCTTTCTACTCGCTCACATATTTATGCAAAGTTGGGAAAGCGTTATCCTTGAAGCATTTACATCCAGGAAATAATCTTGTTTCACTGTTTCATGCATCTAACTGATTAATTAAAGTGGAGTTATATTCTACTATAGTGCTCAAAGTTGACTCTCCTGTAAGTTCCAGAGCTTCTAAACAAACTTAAGGTAATTTAGGTGGCTTTATTGTTCGGGATTGTATCTGAGTTACCTTGTAAATATTTTTTTAAATCAGACACTCACAGAGGTCCTCTGATGGTCATGGTACAATAGTGTTTACATAATAAACGTTTTTATTATACTTTTGATGGTTTCTTATTATTATTTTTACTATTTGTCCCTTGGGTTGCTGGTGGGACACAGGGCACGTCACTATTTCACTCTCTTCTCTCCAATCGTTTTAATTTGGCTCCACCACTGCCCAAAACCTTTCAGTTCCTCCCCACATGATCTCTTCCATGTCGCTCTCGGATTCCCAACTCATCGTTTCCCACACGGGTTCCACTCGACGGCCTGGCCTGGAGTGTGATATCCTCAAACTGTACTCTCAGTGTATGTCCAATACAATCATCTTCACTTTCTTCCTCATATTTGTTGGGTGGTAGCTTCTTGGTTGCTCCTTGTTTATTCTTTCTCGCCTTCTCATTTCATCTTCAATATGCAGCGAGCGTATGCGGCAGCTGTTCATGTGTGTCTGTAGTTTGTTGCAAATGCTTTATGTGACGCACCAAGTCTCTCAACCACCACATAGACGCGCTGACTTGACTGAACTAGTGATGAAAATCAGAATCTAGTTCACGCTTTACGCTGAGTGCAGTGCAGTAGAACTCTACACTGATCTCTAAAGACTAATGAAAGCCTATCTTGCTGTCTTTCCGATCCCGGCTTTCACATCCTCATCTGTGCCTGTGCCACCACCTGTATTTGAAATGATGCTGCCCACGTAGGTGGGTAGGTAGGTAGGTAATTAGGTGAAAGAGACAACTTTCTTCATATTTCTGCCGCTCATGGTGATTGATGCTGGTTATGGTTGTTATTGTTGGTTGGATATCTTCATCACCTCTGTCTTCTTCACGTTCACCTGAATGAAGTACCGTCTTCTCTGTCCTGTCTGTTCCGTCACCTTGTTGGTTTTCGTCTGCATATCTACTTTGTGCGGCATAAGATATTAGACATAAATCATCATTGGTGAAATCCAAATCTCCGATGGTCTTTTCATCAGTCAAACAGCCCATGTCCCTCTTCTCGTTCCTCGCAGTTTCTTGCAGGATGCAGTCCAGTCCAGTCGACCACAATCAAGAAGACGATTGGTGATAGTAGACAACCTTGTCTTACCTGTCAACCTGTCTTCGAAGTCAGCACTGAACTTTTTATTGTGAATCACTTCGCATGTAACATCATCAGATAGCATATAGCTGTTGAATGAGGCTTATGGTACTCCGCAGTATTGAAACAACTGCCAAGTTACTTCTCGGTCGACGCTGTCGAAGCCCTTTTCAAAATCGATGAAAATGAGGTGAAGAGTTGACAGCTATTATATGCTCTGTTCTATGGTGATGTGTAGAGTAGTGTTGCAATTTTGTCCGCACATGATTTGTTCTTCTTGAAGCCAGACAGCCTGTTCTGGTCATAATTTTGAATCCAGAGCATTTTTATGTCTCTTCAGTATGATATGGCTTAATATTTTGTTTGGGTGGATAGGAGTGCAGCATGATTCCGTGCCAGTTCTTGTCCTTGCGATGACTAAGGTCTCTCTTCTTTGGGAATTCGACAAGGTAGCTCTTCTTCTAGTCGTCAGGTAGCTTCATTTCCCTTCCTTCCAAACCTTCTGCAATAGTAGTCTGACCATGTCCGTTGCTGATATCTCTGCGTTTGTTTTCAGTGCTTCTCGAGGAGTTCCATGTGGTCCTGCTGCTTTCCCAGCTCTCAGTAACTTTATGATGTTCAGGACTTAAGCTTTTGTCGGAAGGCTTGTGTTCACTGAGAGTTCCGTGTCTGGGCTGCTGGTGGTATTTCTGGACGAGTTGCTGCAGGTGGTGGTGGTGGTCAATTCAAGAGTTTTTTAAAGTAGTCAGCCCATCGTTCCCTTTGTTTTTCCTCTTTGGTGGTAACTAAGTTTTCTGCACTATCTTACGTTGCTTTCATCTGTGTTGATCTCTTCCCAGAAAGTATTTTGGTTATTTGATATAGTGTTATCAGATCTCTCCTACCAGCAGCCCGTTTCGCTTCACTTGCAAGTGTGTCGAAGAATTGTCTTTTTTCTTTGCGTGCACTTCTTTGTCCAATGTAACGTTTGATAGGTTACGTTCAGTTCCACTTTTCCTTGTCCATCCCTGCACTGCATTGTACTGGTTTATCTTCTGCTTCACCATCCTCCCCTCCCCACTCAGTCAGCTTCCATGTGTCCGTCGATATCCACTCTTTATGTTCTCTCTTCTTCATTCCTTATACGTTAAGCAGGTTATTTTCCACATCTCTTTCAAAGATTTCCAGTGTTCTTCCACGCAGGTTTCTTCAGGTATGTTGCCCAATCTCTCCCTTTTTTCTGATTCATGACGACGTGAAGATGTCATTTGTAGTTTAGTCCTTCAGTTTCTATTTTAGCTGTTGGACTTGAACTGTGGTCTATCACCAAATTCTTTGAAGGCTTTCAACTTGATTGTGAAGGTTCCTTACACTAGATAGTGAGTTGTGTCAACCTACACCTGCTCCTCTTCTTCATCTAGTATCCAGTAGGCTGCGTCTCCACTTTCTTTCCATTAAAATGAAGTCAATCTGGTTTTTGGTGTAGTATATCCATCCTGTGAGGTCACCTTTTAGTGCTTTTTATGATAAGTATAGAACGTTAGGTTAGCTTTTCGTTTATAGGTTTGTTGTAATCAGTAAAATCTTAGAACTATACTGTTAATTTGAAATTTATGTTTTTACTTTCATTTTATAGCCGATGGACCAACAATTGATCGATCTTCATGTACAAGTCCAGTTCAAACACATTCTGGTCGCCTGCTTCGATCACCTGTCAGTCCCCCACCTAGAGGATATATTCGACGCCCGTCTGAAATATTTGATACTGGTAGCCAATCTGATACAGGGATTATAGGTGGTTTTGGCACTCGAGTATATCCTGGTACTTCATATCCTCACGTTCATGACCATACTGTCAGGCGACCGTTTAGGGGAACACGTGGTAAACCTACTGTAAGCACAAAGAGAGGCCCACCTTCACAAATGTCGGTATTTCGAAGTCCAGAAGATAATAAGCCATCAAGGCATAAACAATCAGTGTCAGGAGGCTTAGGTATGAATATATCTTGTTTCTAAAATTTGCAAAGAGTTACTACAGTTTTTAATCTACTTGATGTTGTTCCCACTGAGACTAGGACGCAGGAATGAACTCTTCAAATGCCACAGCATTATCCACTTGACCCCTAAGTCATGATAGTCAGCCACTCCTTGTCATTCGTTCGTCAAAGCACTTTTCACAACCGATCTTTAAAATCTTACCGCCGCATTTTGATGATTAATTTAAACTTAACTTATTCAGTCATTAAACCCAAATCAGAACTGAAGATACCATAAACGAAGCTTTTCTGTGTCATAGACTATTATTATTATTATTATTAAGTAGGCAAAATTTCGAATTAACCCTGTACTTACTGCTGCATTGTGTCCGTAGAGTGTGTACCTAACGCCAGATTTTGACGTTAATAGGTGATGGAAAAGTACCGAATGTACTGAAACCAAGGTTCACTTTGAACCCCCCCCCCCCATACTTTAACAGTATTTGAGTTTGAAACCAGCGCGGAAATCATACACCTTTTGAACATAGTCTTCAATGATGAATTTATGGATAATCTGTCGTTAGAGTTGGTTCGATTTAGCCTCAACGATTTGTCTAAATAAACGTCTATTCAAATATTTTGTTTCAGAATCTAGTCTAAAATTACGCCTGATACAAACGCGACTAAGCAATAAGTTTACATAAGTTTTCTTCATTTTCTGAGTATTAACATCACCTAGAATTTGATTAGCTGTTAGTTGGATTTATTTCTCTAACGCAACCTGAGCAGTATAATCAGTAAGCTTGCAATATTGTGAATATAAACATTACACAATCTACCGTCTCTCTTCTATTTGTGATTTATCACAGTCTTTACTGCATTGGTTATAAATCATGTGACAAAACTTGAATATGGAACAGCTGAAGAGTTTTCAGTTATGCTTAAGTGTTATAATTCTTGGTAAACAATCTGAAGGTTATTCAGTAAACTTTTTCATCACCTACTTGATATTTGCTTGGAGTTTTCATACCCTCATGGGCTAGATGAACAAATGATTGACGGGATTCGACTTCAAGGTGTCTAAGAGTCAGACTCTTTAAAATATTTAATCTACTTTCACCTTATCTTTTCTTAAGTACCTTCAATATGCGATAGACTGTCCTGAGTTCATTCAGTTACTGATGCATGCACGCGGTAGCTTATATGAAGTTATGAGCAAAGGATACAAATAAGAAGCAACGGTAGTTCTCTTCAGATATTTTAAGGCTGACAATAACATGAATAATGCTTGTATGGAAGTATAGAGGTCCCTGGAAGGCAGTTCAGACAGTGAATTGTTTCTCGAAATGGGCAGTTAAGTATATTCATATCAGACGATCGTTAGTATCAGTTCACCAGAGTTTACTCCTAAGAAGGAACTCGAGGTGATTGTTCCAACTTACTGGCCTTTGAATTTTTTTCCACCTGTTATGACATCCGTAAAATTAATTTTTTCTTACTCATTGCTAAAAACCAGCTTTTAATAACGATTACTTTTCATTTTGAAGGAGATTCATTCAGTCACTGCGTTTGTAAGCGGAAAAACAAAGTAGACATCTTTGTTTATTTCAGCAGCTCAGAAGTTTTACAGAATCATTTGGTTTCCTAGACTAAAGTCACCTAGCATCTAGAAAAAAATCTATCTTTTCCACTCTTCGATTTGGCCTGCTTTCATCAGATCTACAATTACATATTCAGCACATCCATACTTAGAATTCCAATGACACAGATATACCACATCATCGAACTGAAACTCAATGAATAATGTATTGATCGGTCACGAGAGTTCGACCAATTTCATGTTGTCTAGTTCTGAGTGCAGATCGAATTCTATCAATCATATTTGCAATGTGGCAAACAAGCTAGGAAGCTCAGCATCGCAGTGCACATTAGTAGATATTAGTTGGTTGGAGGCAATCGGCAACAATCTTCACCTTGTCAAACTCCTTGCCTTCCTCGATATTTCTACTATCTTAGTTTATTACGCAACTACTTTACATTCTTGACTCCGGTTTGTTTTAGCACTATGTGGCCTAAGTGATGTAATTATACCCTACTGTTTTGTAATGGACTGTTATATGTTTGTGATGTATTGATATACAAATATGATTGTACAACTTTAGAGAATGATATCGTCGAAAAGAGAGAATGTTTCCTTGCTGAATTATCTCTTTTCTATAACTAACATCTACTAGATGAATAATAGATAAAGGATCTCGTAAAGACCCCACTGAGGTGTAACATACCTTGACGACTCTTATTATTATATTATTATCTGTCCCTTAGGTTCCTAATGGAACATAGGGCTTCAGTGGCACGTCTCCATCCCACTCTCTTCTCTGAAATCTGTTGAACCTGGCTCCACGACAACCCGAAAGCTCTCATTTCCTCCTGGCACGATCTCCTCCATGTCACACTCCCCTCACAAACCCAACTCGTCACTTCTACTCGAGTGCCTGGCGTGTGATGTCCCCTATCGGCCTTCTCAGTGTATGCCCAATCCATCTCCACTTTTGTTGAGCGATAGCTTCTTGCTTCGTTGGTTCGTTGCCAACCAGCCAGAGTTCCTTGTTGCTTATTCTTTCTCGCCTTCTCATCTGATCTCCAGTAAGCAGCCAGAGTTGGCAGTTGTTGATGAATGTCTGTAGTTTGATGGAAATGCCTTTCGTAATGCGTCAAGTCTCTCAACCATACAGGAGCACTGACTTGACGTTGGTGTTGAAAATCCGGATCTTGTTCCACACACTGAGTGCAGATTTCCACACTGGCTTACGGTTAGTGAACGCCCGTCTTGCTTTTCCGATTCTGACTTTGACATCCTCGTGTGTGCCACCTGTAATTGAGACAGTGCTGCCTAAATAGGTGAAACAGACTACTTCATTTAAGTTTCTCCCGTTGATGGTGATTGGAGTTTGTTGTTGTTGGTGTTGGTGGTGTTGCTTGGGTATCATCATCACCTCTGTCTTCTCATATTCACTTGAAGTCCCGTCTTCGATGCCCTGCCCTACCTCTTCTGTCAACTTGTTAGTTTTTACCTGTAGATCTTCAAGTTTGTGCGACATCAGACAAAATTCATCAGCGAAATCCAAGTCTTGTAGGTTCTTTTCCGCGGTCCAGCGTATCCCCTTCTTCTCGCTCCTCATTGTTTAGTGCATGATCCAGTCCAGTCCAGTCGACCACAATCAGGAATATCATGGATGATAGTAGGCAGCCTTGTTTCACTCATGTCTTCACTCCACTTGAAAGGCATCACTGAGCTTCCCATTGTGAATTACTTGGCTGGCATGTGGCGTCTTATTATGACTTTTACCAATGTGATTTTAAATGCCAACACCTGTTTCCAATTTCAAACTTACACCTAAACACAAAACACTCCAATGGAAAGATTTGACTGTGATCTTATAAAAGTAAACATACTCCTATATAATCCTGAATCACCAGGATTTTTCTTAGAGGTTAAAGATTTGGAGATGATGGAAAGTTCTCAAAGTAGTAAAAGATTAGGAAATATTTGCAAGGAAGGAAAAGTTCAAATATTGCTGAGAGTATATCTATTATTGATGTCCTCAAACGGTCCATATCATATCAAAGAACTTCAAAGAAGTTGAGGTAAGTATTGATGATCTAGTTGTTCAATGTTCTCAACAGAGATTTGAAAAGAGGCCTGATTTATGCCACTCATATATCACATTTTGTTGAGGATTATAACTTGATGAAACCCTACTACACGTTCTAAAACACCTACGCTAGAAATGGAACTGTGTTTACCGCTGTCATATTTCTGCACAACCAGCAAAACAACCTAAGTGTTCTGCAATTTGTAATACTACGGCATCTCAGTAAATAAAGCCATGATAGACAGAATCTTTGGCAATATGGTAACTGAGTGTTATTTTTGGTTGTATTATGTTCTCTTAGCCGGGTTATTTAGTCGTGGAGCTTTCATCGTCTTTCTAGACGACATCAGCACTAACTTCAGTATGAATTCATGCAGACCAAAGGATGCAACAACCAAAGAAGACAAACCCAGTATCATTTACAAAATCCACTGCAATAACTGTGGTCAACATACCAGATTGAACAAAGTGGTCATCCACCTTCGCTTTCCTTCACATGAGAACACCAATTGGCTATTAAACATTACACACGACATTTCACCACTCGTCGCTCAATCCACGTGGATAACAACTATGGACATGAATTCAATTTTGACAATGTAGAAATCTTCGACGGAGAGAGGAGACACAGCGAATATCAGGGAATTCCTAGAAGCTTGGCATTCACATCAGTCAGTCAGTCAGTCAGCAATCAACAGATGTATAGACATATACCCAATCTACCAACTAAAGTGATAAGAGTCATAAACAACAGTCAGGGAAACAGCCAACAGGGAAATCTATGCAGTCAGTTAGTGACACGACAATCAAAGGAAACGGCCAGTCACAAACCAGTTGGTCAGGGCAAGCTACTAAATCACTCACGGAGAGATAGTGACAGGTCACTTCATCATACTGAAGTAAATGCTGATGATGTCGTCCAGGAGAAAGACGATGGAAGCGCCAGGACTAAACAACCCAGCTCTGAGAACACAATACAACCAAGGCTATCCACTTTGAGCTACAAATATTCTTCACCATTTCAGAATGTTTTTTTAATATGCAATATAGACAAGCACCTGGAAACAATAGCTACAGTAGAACCGAAAATAGGAAAAACTGCATGCTAATTATGCCAAAAGTCAATATCATTTTTTGAAAACATTTTGATGTTTAACCAATGCGTAATATATACAAGTCTCCCATTGATCATATCAATTAAAGACAGCAGAACAAGACTTACTGAATAAATTGACTTCATATCTACTTTTTTGGTTTCTCCTCGGCTGTAAACATACCAGAATAAACGCAAAATTAGCACGGAAAAAAGCGAGGTTACTAAAAGCATTGGAAGTAAAGATTAAATTGGCAAAATTCAGTTA